CAAAAATATACACAAGCGAACACGTCATTATAGAATTACTTATTGTAATTGTAATTATAAAAGCTTGAACGAGAAGTGATATTCCAAGATTAATGTTCTTAAACAAGTCACTATCTTGCGGGTTGCTTAAATATGATCAAGAATGGATAACGTTGGATAACCTTATCTCACATTTAGATGGTTATTTTGTATATCTTCTCAATTGTCGATAATCTTGATAATAGATATTTTTTGTAACTGCCAATTATCTTATAGAATTCAGGTTCAAATAGGTCACTTGTACAACCTTATAAATAGTAATGTAATTCAATAAAGTGTATGTGAAACAAGTTCAAAAAATGTTTTACTATTCTCTACACAAAATTAAAGAAGCTAACATTTTAAGATAGAATTCTAAAACTTAGTAATTTTATATTTTATATCAATATCATCGACTTTATATAATTGAATGTCTTATTCTTGAACCAACTCCTAGGATTCGTTAACCTTTCATGCTAGACCACACTCAATGGAACCATGAAAGAGAAGTACTAAATTTATTGCGTTGAAATGTTGAATACAATATATCAAATATTTTACTTTGTTGACTTTGTGCGTTTGTATAATTGTTGAGCGTAAGTTAATAGTACCTGAAAATGATTAGAGGATCAAAGCCATAGTCACCAAAGTGATGAGGTTTAGGTATAGGGAAAATGGGGGACTTGATAGTCATTATTTTGTTTCTTGAGGGGGGAAAACGCTAAGAGTATTTGGAGTGGGAGTTGGGGTTGGGGGGTTTATAGATGGAGCTTTAAAGGAGCTCGTGGAGGGATGAGAATGGGCGTTAGCATTTGTTAAAACTAGTAAATGGAATCACATTTTTTTGTTGGATTCTTGATTCCACACGTTTGTTTTCATGCACTAATAAATGTTCAAATGATGTTAAAATTAATTTATATATTTTTTAATAATGTGTAAAATAAGAAATAATTATGTACGTTAATAAGTGGTGGTAACACCGAGTTAAACTAAATGAGAAAATCAATATTGGTATAATTGGGATGTGTTTTAGATTGCGTAGATAATGAGATGTTAATAGAATTATATAAAAGATGGGAAGCAAAAAATTTCATGTTGTAGGTGTTAATCATATAGTTCAAGTAGATATTTTCATGAACCGAATGGAACGGAAAAATGTATATTTATTAATAACAATGCTTAGATTTTTTATTATTATTATTTTTTAATTACAATACAATGGATTTTATTACTTTTAAGCTTTATCATGCAATAGTGTCACTCTCGATCGACATAATTCATTACCTTTTTCCATTTAATATCATCAGGTGGTAATAACTCTTAATCGATGTAACTCATCACATATTTCCATTTACTGTTGTTGATCGGTCGACTCTCGATCAATATAACTTGTCATCTATTTCCATTTAATACCATCAGCTGGTAAGACTTGTGGATCACTCTTGATTGGTGAAATCATAACCAATTTTCTATTTATGTCATCAACTAGTATGTATGCTCTGGAGAATAATGACAAACAGGTGGAAGCACGTTATTACTATAAATCATTTAGAACAGTAGTCAGCAAGTACTAGACGATGTAGTAAACATTAAATCGTGGCATCTAAAATTTTAAACAGGTAGAGGTGACGTTGAGTTAAGAATCTAAGATAACTTAAGAGAACTAAGAGTTATATGGTTGAGATGTGGTTTAGATTATGTAGACTTAAATAAACTCGTGCATATGGGTGGCGTGATATTGATAGAGAATTAAGCGAGAAGAGGGAGGATTGGCTAAGATTAACATATCAAGTAATATGTTCATATTGTCATAAACTCAACGAATAAGAGAAAAAAGATATTTACAAGTAAAAACTATAAGACTTAATTTGTGTGTGTGTGTCATCTGCTTCCGAAAGAAATCAAAGAATTTCTTGAGAATCCTACAAAATTTGTTCCTTTTTTTTTTTTCTCTCTGATAGACCTCCGGCCATGGCACCCTACTATATGGCACCCTAGGAGTTGGAAGAACTTCGGGTACAGAATGAAAACTTCATTCTCGATTTTACGAAAAATTTTATGAAAGCCTTTCATTTGCTTTTAAGGACCGAAACATGCTGCTGAAAAACTCAGCTAAGATAAAGATGAGCTGTAGGGGTATATTAGAAAAATTATATTTCAACTCTATTAATTACGTTTTTTTAATATGTGTGAAATGGAATCGAGTTATTAGAATAATGTATCTACGAGTGAAGATTCCAACAACAATCATTACACGTATGATAGCCTATTTTTTTGGGATGGAAGGAATATTGCTTAATGCTATCGGTTGATAACGTCTCACAACTTATTACATTATGTCATTAAGCCCCTGTTTGAGCCTCATTACATTAAATTCTATTACATTTCATTTTTCTCTCTCCTATTTTCAACCACACAATTTTTCATAAAATAATATTACACGTAAATCGAAAACTTTTCATTCTTTTTCAACCACTCATTTTTCAAAAAAACACTATTCCCCCCATTAATTTTTCTACGTAATGGGAACCAAACAGGGGCTTAATGTTATTGGTTGGCAATACCCAATGCAGGTATACAATGAGAGAACGATGGAAGCATTTCATTAATGTTAAATCACTTATAATACTAACCAGCAATCACTTATGCAATGTAGTACATTTTAATAAATCATAAACGTGTGGATATTTGACCTTTTTTTTTTTTTTAATATTTATAAATACTTGTCAAACTATGTTTAAACTTCAGTTGGGCCACTCACATACCCTAACTTTGAATGGGCCAAGTCACAAATCCAGAACTTAATTGGGCCAGTCCATAAACGACGGCTTTCAACTTTTAAGCCCTTTTTTAACACAATTATCTATTCCATTTTGGTCAAAGTTAACATCACCATTTGGCATCACTTTCTCCAAATCCAAATGAAACTAAACCACTTTTCACACGCACGCACGCACGCACACGGCGCCCACACAGACAAAGACCCGACTCAAAAATATCATACCATAAACTTCCAAGTCTAACCAGTAAATACCGCATTGACTATTTTTTTTTTCCCCATTTCATATTTAATATCCCCAACAACCCCACCTAGTCCACTCACCTTATCACCTAAAACACCCACTTTCTCAGCCCCATTTTCGTCATTTCATTAACGCCGCGTCAAACATGAATTCTTTTATTTCATCATCACTTGCCAGAAACGAAACCCTCAAGAAACTTCCCTATTCCCATAATTCTTCATATATATACTCTTAAATTTTATCCATTTTCTTGCGCATTCTTGAAAACCCTTTTCAATTTGTTGACAACCTTGTAATTCTATATACTGGGTTTTGTGAAATTTGTGTTGAAATGAGTAATAATATTGATCCTGGAGTGCAGATTGAAGCTTCGCCGGAAAAAGGCTATGCTTTGAGTGGCAAAATCATGCTGTCCGCGATAGTTATACTGTTTGCGGTGGTAATATTCATGGCTTTTCTTCATCTTTATGCCAGATGGTACTTGTTTCGCTTGCGTCGCCGTCAACACCAGCGCCGCCAGAGCCAGCGCCGCCGCACTCATATTGTTTTCTATGTTGATAACCACCAACCCAACTCCGCTGCCGATCATGGGCTGGAGACGGAGGTATTGAATTTGTTACCGTTGTTTGCTTACTCGTCCAAGACTCACCCGGAGGTGCTAGAATGCGCCGTGTGCTTATCGGAGTTTGAAGAGAACGAGACCGGCCGGTTTTTACCCAAATGTAAACATTCCTTTCATACAGAGTGCATTGATATGTGGTTCCGATCACATTCTACGTGCCCACTCTGCCGGTCACCGGTGGAACCGGTCTCCGAACCGGAGAAAAACCGGGCCGACATTGCCATCAACTTGGATGAACCGGGTTCGAGCTCCGGTAACAATATGATGCCGTTGGGGGATCGGAGGAAGGGGTTGGACCTTGTAAGAATAGAGGTACCAAGAAGAACCCAGTTCGATGACGAGTTACCACTGAGTTCACCCGGATTAAGGTCGCCTGGAACTCGGTTGTTGTCAATTAAAAGATTCCTCAGCATGAACAGAAAATCTCCCATGGGGACGCCGTGTGCGGCCGGGACGAGCTCTGAGCCGCTGGGAGCCACCGAGTTGGACTTGGAAAGTGGAAGGGATGAGCTGACGACTCAGGAGTCAACTCCAACACATACTCCAAGGTAGTTAGCCAGTCGGCGCATCCAAGAAAAAGAGTGACGTGTCATGCGAATGAAACGAAGTTAAATTTCGAGAATAACGACATTCGGCGACTGTCAGATTTTCGTGGTTCTAGGAAGGTGTGGAAAGCCATCATTTTGTCAACGTGGCTAGCTGAAATTAATTTCTCAACTTGATAAACTAAAAATATAGAGGCGTTCCCACCCTCTGTCGTTTGTTGACTTGAAATTTGTATGGATTTTATTTCATTCTTATATTATAACTTCTACCCCACAATTTTATTCTCACTCAATTTATTTATTGATTAATGATAAATAAATCATTCATCAACCACAAAGTTTTATTCTAAATAAATTTAGGATCGATTATATGATTGATAGTGTAAAAGTGTAAAGCTCAAAGGCAACTATGGATAACAAATTTAGTTATGAGAATCATCTTTGATTGTACTTAAAAGTAAAGAAGTATATTGCATTTTATATATTTCTTAAAAAAAATGTAAGTCTGTCTCAGGCAATTTTAAGTAAAACTTGTTAAATCTTATTTTCGAAGTCGATTGTACAATTAATGGGAATGGAGATGTAAACTTTGCATCCCATATGCAGCACAATGAAAGGGATTGATGACTTGACTCTCTATATTGAAAGTAGGAAAGTTGGTTCAATTATGCATTCTTTAGTTGCACATAATTCCTCCTCCTTTTTTCAGCAATACTCTCTCATATCTTGAATTTGTATATGCCTAATAAAAGTTATGTTAAAGTATCTATCGATGAAGAGAAATGAATATTGTTATGGAATGTACAATCAGTAGGATTATATAACCTTAATTATAGGGATCCCCAATTAGGATCCTTCCTAATATAGAATTTCCAGTGTAAAAATATATGTATTCTCTCCAATAGAAACGTGAACGATTTTACTCTCTCCTATTCACATGGGATCAAAGCCGGGGCCTAATTCATACCAGTGGTGTGCATTTTTGGTGCCGTCTCCTCTGTTTCTTAATCGCTGCATGGAGTCCGATCTCCGGTGTAAATGGTTTTGGTTCAGGCTGTTAGAGTTTTATCACGATCTATCATGTGAATAAACAACAACATATAGATGAAATGCGGAAACTGAAGATCATAAACTAACCTCCAGCCATTGTCGTTTGAACTGCAGAATTTCGAATTGTGTTTGGTGCTTCCAAGCCTTCAAGACCTCTCTGCGATGGTGTAGTTTCATGAAAGTCTCGGCTAGGGGACCAATACCACTTTATTCCCTTTATATACTTCTTCCCATCAAAGAAGTTACGAAACGTGAACGGTTACCACAAAGTAGGGAAGATGGACAGTTATGAGAAAGTGAGAAGGTGAATAACTTCCAATAAAAGAGGAAGATGATTGGACCATTTAAAAATACCAAAGGTTTACATTCTCCCACTTGGTCCATACATTTCACTCGATATGATATCGAAAACCCATCAATTTCTCACTTTCAAGAAACAAAAATGCATGAATCATGGCGACAGGTCCTCTAAAAGCGAGTATTATCTTCCATGTATTACAATGCATTATGTCTCTCAATCCCATATAGCTTAATGAATAAACCCTATGTTTATTCAAGGTCCAAACTTTAATGATGTTTCTCAAAATAAATGAATGAATAAACAATTGTGCACAAAACCATATGAGAAAACATCAAACTGAATAAGAGTTTCATTGAAACAATAAATGTACATACAACGAAATCACATCATGGAACCAAGTCCCATTCGTGTTACATGATCCTTAAAATTTTTGGGTGGCATGCCTTTAGTTAAAGGATCGGCAATCATCAACTCAGTACTAACGTGCTCAATGACCACTTTCTTTTCCTTAACACGTTCTCTTATGGCTAAATATTTGATGTCGATGTGCTTACTTCGACTTCCGCTCTTGTTGTTCTTAGCCATAAATACCGCAGCTAAGTTGTCACAGTACAATCTTAATGGCTTAGAAATGGAATCTACAATTCTAAGTCCAGATATGAAACTCTTCAACCATACACCATGCGAGGTAGCCTCAAAACAAGAGACGAACTCAGCCTCCATAGTAGAAGTAGCAGTCAATGTCTGCTTTGCACTTCTCCAAGATACAGCTCCACTAGCTAGCATGAAAATATAACCAGATGTTGATTTTCGTGAATCAATGCAACCAGCGAAGTCTGAATCGGAGTAGCCAATCACCTCCAGATTATCAGTCCGTCTAACAAACTAAACATATTAAGATAGACTGTCATTTCGTTCGTGAGAAGGTGCAGCAAAATTTAATCTCTACAAGATATGTAAAAACTGGAACAAGTATGAGATATTTTCACAAAGGCTCTAAATAAAATTCAAGTTGATTATACTTGTAACAAGCTGGGTATGAATAATATCTACACTCCAACTTGAAAGGGAGTGTTATGGATTGTACAATCAGTAGGATTATATAACCTTAATTATAGGGATCCCCAATTAGGATCATTCCTAATATAGAATTTCCAATGTAAATATATATGTATTCTCTCCAATAGAAAAGTGAACGATTTTATTCTCTCTTATCATCCAACTTAGACTACAATCCGAGTAGCATGGGACAAGTGAATAGACATTGATCATCTGTAAAGACAATAGTAGTATCACAAGAGACGGTGAGAAAAATAACTTCAAAAAGTGAAATGGAACATAAAACCACAATTTCCCAATTAGAAAATTGTAGGATTTTTGATACAATCTTCTATCTATTTAAATTTCTCTCCTTATTTCAATAATTCAATGAAAATGCAACAATCAACTAAAAACAATGTTACAATCCTCTGGCTATGGTGCTAAATCCAACAAAACAGTTTAGGACAAACAAATGTTACAGACATCAGTAGCCATTTGGTTACTAGTATCTTAAAAGTTAGAACTACAATGATTAAGACATTAAACATAAGATAGTTGCTAACTGCTTTTGGTCCCAAAATTTTGAGGTTGAGCCATTAGACAATACCTTAGTGATACAAAGGCATTGTGGTGTACACCTCGCCAACCGGCTGTGTTACCCTGCTGCATGTAAGTCTAAAGGGGCTACCAATCGTGATTTCCGTCTTTTCTTGCCTTCAGGAGTGCCCCGGGCGCTGCTTGCCTTTCTTGGACTTGGAGAGAATCTGGAGGTTGAGGTAGAACGTGAAGGTGAAGGCCATGAATTATTAACAACTGGGCGATTCTCCTTCCCCGGCTTGTTTCTTTTACTACTGGCAAATACTTTCGTTAAAGGAGACTTAACTCTCTTTTTAGCTGACCGAAGCTTCACTCCTTTCCTTATCTCGTGCCTCAGAAGCCGAACATAGAAAGGATTAGCAGCCGTGTGGCAAGTGAAATTGTCATTCTTGTCGCCTCGGTGCAGATCCACATCTCCATTATTCACCTGCACTAGCACGTGAAATGTAAATATACTCTCTTTTTCTATTTTAAAAATACGTCTAAAACTAGTCATAGTAATCATAGAGGACGTCAAGTCCAGCTCACGTAGTAATAGAGAAGCCTTACCAGATCATTCACCTGGATTCGAACCTCATTTGCGGGAGGGGGAGGGTTTACAGTGAAATTAAAAATAATAAAAAAAAAATAGTCGTATAGAGTTTTACAAAGTTCCAAAAATTAATAATAGAGTTATAACTAGGAACCGTTTCTCCAAAACATTCCTCAATCCACAAGAAGAGGTTGCTACTGCACACATTTGGAAATTGTTTCGTCCTCTCTCTACAAAATGTATACAAGAGTAAAATGACGAATAATTTTCAATGCGGGATTACCAATTGAAGAAGAGCAGAAAATGTCCGAGCAACGTCATGCTTCTCTTGTCCCCTGACAACATCTTCGAAAGACTTGGCCTTTCCCTCAGCTCCTTCCATAGATAGTTTATCCAAAACTCTATCACCATATTCATGAATATCAAATGGTGGCCGAGCGTCCTGCCAGGAAACATTATCATTATCTGAGTGAAATTCTAAGAGAGAAGAAAGTTTAATCAATGAAAGGAAATAGTGAATATACAGACTTGTTCTTCCAAGTTCTGCTCTATTCTTTGTTTCCATGTTGAAACCCTAGTAGCCAATTCAGTCTGCTCGCTCTCGGCTAGACTAGCAAGAAGAGAATCCTACAACATAAAATAGGTTATGCATTGAACCAATACAATATTATTATTATTGTAGTAGCTCTTATTATTGTTATTTTAATGTTGTTCTTGTTATCCTTTACAACAATTAACTAGACAATGTCACATTTCATCATTGAAAGTTATCTTCATCAACAATATCCATTAGATTATGTCTATAAAGGTAAGCTAGAATATCTATTCTTACCAAGTGAGAACGGCAAAGATCTTCAAGGCTTGCATTAGCACCAGGATCATCATAAGCTTCATTGAATACAAAGTGATCGCCAGCACTATCATGCTGCATATAGTCAAAATATTAGTAGCTAGACAAAGTATCGTGCTGATTCATTTCTAAGTACGTGCATAATTCACCAGCCTCACATTTTCCTGGTGAGAAGGTACATCATCTTGACTGTATTTGTTCTCTGGAAAGTCAAAATCAGGTGGGCCACTATCTGGATCCCCACTATCATATCCATGATCTTCAATGTTATCCTCAGGTTCATAAAAGGCATCGTTCATTTTACTTCCTCGAAGAACAAGTGATTCCCGAAGCTGCAATTACCAGCTAGAATTATGTATGAGACAAACTTATGCAGCTAAAGAGCCACCAAAAGACCGACCTTTTCATAAAGTGGAGTAGATTGAGATTTGCCTTGTCTTTCTGAGTTACCACGCTTTGCTTCCCATAATTCAGTGAGTTCTGAACTAGTGGGACCATTTAATTTTGCAAGAGGAAATTCTTCGGTTATGGAAACATGTTTCCTGGAACCAACCCCTTGCCTTTTGTTAGCTTTTACTGCTTGTGAGCAAGTACAAGATCCGAAAGCATTAGATGGTAAATATATGATACTCATAAACAAAAATGAAAAACGAAATATACATTAGAACAACCTTTCTTATAAGGTTTAACTTTCAAATTCCCTGGTTCGTGAGGATTCGTAGGTTTCCATGGATCGTCATCATCAGATTCATCCAAGTCCCCTTGTTCTGGATACCCATCTCCGATTCCAGTTTCATCATGGTTATCGTCAAGAAAATCAAGGCCAGGAGGGGAAGATCCCACATTGTTGTTGTTAGACTCTATTACAGGATTAATAGAAGGGGACTGAGTAAAATTATTGTCAAGATTCTTTCCAACTGCCAACTTATTGCCATTACCCCCGGATTGTCTTATTGGTGACTGAAAGCTCTTACGGCCTCTAGAGGTCAGTGAGCTGCCTCTACAAAAATTAGTCTGCCCTTTGCCAGCTTTACAATCACCATTTAGAAAATTATTAACTGCAACGGCATCACAAGAGTCCAGCAAAATGAAATCCCGGTAGAGATCGTTATTGGCTAACTGCAAGCATAACAATTATAACAATTTAAGATAAAAATATTCACACCATTGTCAAAAATTCTCAATAGTAATATTTTTATACCAGATAGGACTCTAGTTCCCCATCGTCACCACCAGCATCAAAGCAATCCCCTTCAAGGACAATTAGATTTGCAGGGGCCCTCACAAAGTGAGTCAGGGAAGAAACTCTACAGGTTGCACTATCCAAATAAATCTTTACTTCCACTGCAATATAGAATAATCTAAACCATGAAGACTCTTGCTGATGGTACCATAATCACAAACCCAGAAGCAACCTACCTGGGATGTCATCTGAAACCCAAAATGAATCATCCTCTTCATCCTTTGCAGTATGCGTACCAGTTTCTTCGGGTTGGGCAGCAATACTATCTGCTTGATCTTGCTGACTGGTCAAATAACAAAACATTGACAATATAATCATAAGGCATCAAATGGAATTCATTTTTTTAATAATTGACCTGGAAACCAAATGTTGATTTAGCTATATATAAATATATATGCTTTGATCAATGTGAACAATGACTCCAATGCAAAAGTAAAAATGAGCCATATTTTTCCAGTGTACAGTAATACTTCGAACACTCATGTTGTTGCTGCACTAACTGGAAAATGATTAAATTCCTAGCTGATTATCTATTGATTGTATTCGAAAGATCCATCTCATATCCACTCACTTATGTTCTATGCCTTGAGGTTATACTAATAACTAATTTAAGTTGAGGAAAGGAAAAGAAACTGAACACTTCGGAAGGAGCTAACAAGCTGCACGGTTAACCAAAGTAGAAATATAACAGTAGAAGTGCATAAAAACAATTAAGTTGATGGGAAAATGACTTCAAATGCTTAATGTTCATTGAGTTAGCACAAAATTAAGACGACAATTACAAAAGTTTTCATATGCCTGCTAAGCTCCACAAGTGAACTTCAGAATTTCCAAGTATATCAGGTCCAAGAACAAATGCAGTTTTTGGGATAACAAATTAACTCTCCAAGTCAAAACTATAAAGGACATGGGAAAACCAAAAGGCTGGTTCTTTTGCCTTTACCCCATTTATTCCCCACAAGGACCAAAACTCTGGAAAATATAACATAAATAAAAGGTCAGTTGACAAAGCAAGTTTTCCAAATAGCCTTTTGGATCAACAACTTCAAAATTTGCAGTGTGCGGGCAATTCTTTTTTTTTTTTTT